AAATGTGTACTTGGATGAAAAAACGATTCTTCGCGGCGGGGATCGTATTCCAGGGACCATAGGATTAAGGACTTGCCCGAAACGCTACGCGTACTAGTGGCTGTACAAGAATGTAACAACTCTTGTATATATCTCAAAAAAAAAAGAGTGTCTTGCCACTACACCATGGAGACTGTATAAGTCAGTCTGATATGCATCACTCAGTGTTTCGCCTACAGGATATGAATGAATTCTTCCACTATTTCTTATTACATTATTTATCTTGTAATATTCGCCATATTTCATTTAGCCGCCTTACGTTCCAACCCAGAGGAGGACCTTCAGAATTCAGTGCGTGGTACAAGAGCTGAATAACATTAGCCTCGTAGTATCACCTCTCTGTGCCCCATGGCGCCAACAAGTCAGACATTTACAGTCTGATCATAAACTATCTAGCCGATAATGATATCATCACTTCAAAACAGTTGGAACAATATCAAGTTGCCGAAAAATCTGCCCAAGCTCTCGTGAAAGTGAAGATAGAGTTAGATAGATAGAGTTAGCCTGGTTAGAAGACGCTGCGGACGAAAGAAAACGGGAAATGAGAAGACGGAAGCTGAACCTAGATTCACGAAGCTCCATGTATTTCTTCGTAAGTATGTGTACTACGAAGGTTCCTAAGTACTGGCTAAGAACGCACCAAAGTGTGATTTAGAAAACTATACCTATGAAGATTTTTAAGTAGTTCACTTAGGTCTAGCTAGCTGTCACTAGGGCTGCAGGCGATGAGTCAAAATAACGTGGCTGAAGTATGTTGACCAGACCACACATTAGAAGGTGAAGGGACGACGATGTTTCGGTCCATCCTGGACCACAATCGACTTGAGAATGGTCCAGGACGGACCGAAACATCGTCGTCCCTTCACCTTCTAGTGTGTGGTCTGGTCAACATACGTCACTAGGGCTGTTAGTTTGGCCAATCAGAAAGAAGGTAAAATTTTTCATCTTACAGCTGTAGCCAATCACGACACTGGCATATTGTAGTTTATCCGTGATCACCTGCCACTTATTTACATCGAATTTTCTTATAAAATTGGTATATTTCGAAGTAAAACTATGCTTTTTCAACGTGTACAGTCAGCACCGACATTGTAGTAAACAAATGTTACATTTTTGTTTACCTACGTAATTCTAAGAGATAGTGTGTAGCTGTCCTTGTTGCTCCCAAGACTTGAGAAGCGATGGCATTTATTTACGTATATATTTACCTAAATTTACCCAAGGGCCACTAACTATCTAGTGGCCTCGACGAAGACAAAAAGCCGGCGGCTTGTTAAGTCCCGCCAATTGTCCTAATGATATTTTCTAGCTGGATTTTGCCATTTATGACTTCAGCGGGTAGGCGGTTCCATTGGTTTATAACTCTCTGGGTGAAAAAACTTCTGTTTTCAGTCCTACTTGAGAGGACACTCTCCAACACTATATCTGTAAGTGCCCTGTTATCAGTGACGTCAGACCAAATGGTATGAGGTACTTTGAACTCTGTAATTACTTCATACACTCAGGAATATTGGAAGATATTCTTGTGCAACCCGTTCTCGCACTTTCTTACAGTCAATATTGACTTATTAAATACGTGCATATGTGACATACTGAACATACTAGTTTACCTTGAAAAGTTTCATAGAAAACACCGACCTTACCTAACCTTCCTAGTATGTTAAGATAAGCATTTTATTGCTTCGTAATTACAACTATTACTTATCCTATACCTATAATAGGTTAAGTAATAATTGTAATTACGAAGCAATAAGATGCTTATCCTAACATACTAAGAAGGTTAGGTAAGGTCGGAGTTTTCTATGAAGCTTTTCAAGGTAAACTAGTATGTTTAGTATGTCACATATGCACGTATTTAATAAGTCAATATTGACTATACGAAAGTGCGAGAACGGGTTGTCTTGTGCTGTACCCAGATTTTGCTAGTGTAGGCTAATAGATCAGCCTTACATTTCTTGTTCTCTCCTGATTCCATGTATGACTGGTCGTCCTATGAGGTGGGGGATGTTGGATGAGCTTGTAGCTGGTTTTTGATCTACACTGTGTGGTCCTTCACACAGAAGAGGGCAGCAGCACATTGCTGCTTCCCTATTTGCCCGAAACGCTTTGCGTAATAGTGGCTTTAGGCATTGTATGTACTAGCTCTATCTATAAAGCCAACAAACTTTGTAAAATCTCTTTATGTATGTACCTTACCTAAATAAAAATTATTATTATTATTATTATTATTTCCCTTACCTAAGCTTCTTAATAAAAACAATCAGTAACAAAGGTTTTAAATTATAGTTTGTATTATTACCAATATTATCCTTATTAAATCATGTTAACCATGGATCATTAAGATCTCTTGTTGATATGTAATAGTCATATTTCTTTTGTATCATTCATTAAATTGTTCATTATATCTAAATTTTTCACTTTTCAATTTTTCACAAGCCGCCGGCTTTCTGTCCTAGTCGAGGCCACTAGAGAGTTAGTGGTCCTTGGGTAAATTTAGGTAAATATATGCAATACTTGTCAGTGCATCTTCCGAGCAACAAGGACAGCTATACAGTATCTCTTAGAATTACGTAGGTAAACAACAAATGTAACATATTTGTTTACTACAATGTCGGTGCTGGCTGTAGAAGTTGAAAAAACATTGTTTTACTTCGGAATATACTAATTTTATAAGAAAATTCGACGTAAATAGGGGGCAGGTGAGCTCCGATAAAACAGCATCGTGATTGGCTAAATCTTCAAGATGAAGAATGTTGCCTGCTCTCTGATTGGCCAAACGAAAAGCCCTAGTGACATCTCACGAAACTTCTTCAAAGTAGCTAATAATTTCGTAAGTACAGTTTTTTGAATCACATGTAGTCACGTTCTTAGCCGGCACTTACGAACCTTCATAACACACCTATTTACGAAGAAATACATGGAGCTTTGTGAATCTGGGTCCAGGGACAGGCGACGGAAGTCAGTGAAGCCAAGAGAGCGGAGAGTACGTTGGTCGACCTGTGCTAGCCAGTGGGGCTAGTTGAGCACTGTGGACTTCACTCGTGGAGGTGCTAGCCAGTGGGGCTAGTTGAGCACTGTTGACTTCACTCGTGGAGGTGCTAGCCAGTGGGGCTAGTTGAGCACTGTGGACTTCACTCGTGGAGGTGCTAGCCAGTGGGGCTAGTTGAGCACTGTGGACTTCACTCGTGGAGGTGCTAGCCAGTGGGGCTAGTTGAGCACTGTGGACTTCACTCGTGGAGGTGCTAGCCAGTGGGGCTAGTTGAGCACTGTTGACTTCACTCGTGGAGGTGCTAGCCAGTGGGGCTAGTTGAGCACTGTGGACTTCACTCGTGGAGGTGCTAGCCAGTGGGGCTAGTTGAGCACTGTGGACTTCACTCCTGGAGGTGCTAGCCAGTGGGGCTAGTTGAGCACTGTGGACTTCACTCCTGGAGGTGCTAGCCAGTGGGGCTAGTTGAGCACTGTTGACTTCACTCGTGGAGGTGCTAACCAGTGGGGCTAGTTGAGCACTGTGGACTTCACTCGTGGAGGTGCTAGCCAGTGGGGCTAGTTGAGCACTGTGGACTTCACTCGTGGAGGTGCTAGCCAGTGGGGCTAGTTGAGCACTGTGGACTTCACTCGTGGAGGTGCTAGCCAGTGGGGCTAGTTGAGCACTGTTGACTTCACTCGTGGAGGTGCTAACCAGTGGGGCTAGTTGAGCACTGTGGACTTCACTCCTGGAGGTGCTAGCCAGTGGGGCTAGTTGAGCGCTGTGGACTTCACTCGTGGAGGTGCTAGCCAGTGGGGCTAGTTGAGCACTGTGGACTTCACTCGTGGAGGTGCTAGCCAGTGGGGCTAGTTGAGCACTGTGGACTTCACTCCTGGAGGTGCTAGCCAGTGGGGCTAGTTGAGCACTGTGGACTTCACTCGTGGAGGTGCTAGCCAGTGGGGCTAGTTGAGCACTGTGGACTTCACTCGTGGAGGTGCTAGCCAGTGGGGCTAGTTGAGCACTGTTGACTTCACTCGTGGAGGTGCTAGCCAGTGGGGCTAGTTGAGCGCTGTGGACTTCGCTAGTTGAGCATACTAGCGAGTGCGCTAAGGAGGGGGAGCGCTTGAAGACTTCTCCATACCTACAGCTAGGGTAAGGGCCAGTGGTGCGTTGAAGACCTCGTCAGAGGCATATAAATAGTGTCCGTCATCTTTAAAGCTAGCTAGCGTGAGGGGCTAGCGACGGCGCTCTGGATGACCTCTCATAGAGTATACAGTAATGGTGAAGGGTAATAAGAACGGGTAATTTGGAGTGCTATTTTATTATTTACCTTAAACATTACACTATATTTCCACCAAGGTCAGGGTCCTCTGAACTGGAGTAGGTTCGTAGAGTGTGAAAAGAAGCCGGTTACGGAAGGGTTCGTAACACTTGCAGACAAGGAAGAGACGAACGTCAGTAATTATGTACAGTTAGCTATCACCTATACTCTCATGCACACAGCTTTTGATTCTTATTAAAGTAAACCATCTTAGTCAGCTTATTCTCCATTTAAGGTCAGCTCAAAGGACACTAACTATGCACTTTACTTCAGGTACAGCAACACTTAGGGACGCATCATAGAGAGGTGTCCTAATCCTCTCTGTAAATCCACCACTGATCCACATAAGCCTAAACCTCAACCTCCCAAGCCTAATAATAAGCCTCTATTACATGTAAATGTTCCCACACTGATCTTACTTTATTTGACAAACATGTGTTCCAAGGTGGAGATTCTGATGGAACGGTCCCTATAAGCATCTTGAGGGACACAGCTTCGCTGCAGACTATTCTACTGAGAAACGCTGCACTTCAAGTCACCTTCACTGGAGAAACCGTCCTGATCACCGACCACACAGCCACCACACCTTACCCGCTCGCCACAGTCCACCTGGACTGTCCGTTCATCAGTGGAGAGGTCCAAGTCGCCATTCGGGAAAACCTTTCTCCCCGCTAGGAATTCAACTTCTCCTGGGCAACGACCTAGCCAACCAGCAAGACTCCACAAACCTGATCATCTACGACAAGCTCCAGGTATGTGAATCGGCCGTAGAAGAGGAAGACCCTGCCATGACTTATGCGGCAGAAGAAGAGGTTAAGGTGACAGAAGAACCATCAGACATGCAGGCGATGAGTCACAATAACGTGGCTGAAGTATGTTGACCAATCCACACACTAGAATATGAAGGGACGACGACGACTTGACTTGATCGACTTGAGAATGGTCCAGGTCGTCCCTTCATTTTCTAGTGTGTGGATTGATCAACCATCAGACATCTCCAAGCCTGGTCTAGTGACTACCCGTGCTCAAGCAGCCCACCAACCACCTCCAGTAGCAGCAGCAGCTGGCCCTCAAGACGTGCGAGGCCTCCCACCGAATCTCAACCTGTTGGAGTTCCGTAAGTTACAACAGTCAGATATTTCTTTAAAACACTTATATTTCCAGGCACAAATTAAGAAAGATTCCATTCTAATATTTTATATCGGTAACAATCAATTGCTGTATCGTAAATCTAGACCTGTAAAGTCAAGGCAGAGGATGTCTAAGGAGATGTGAATCACTTACTGGTATCAACATCCCTAAGATTAGATATTTTGAACGTAGCTCATGGCCCTATGTCTCATTATGGCATCAATAAGACTTATAATGCTCTCCATCAGGATTATTTCTGGCCAGTCATGTCACGAGATGTCAAGACCTTTATTAACACTTGTCATACATGCCAAGTGGCAGGCAAACCTAATGCTCCCATACCTAAGGTACCCCTCATACCAATCCCTGTTCCTACACAACATTATTCAAAGTTGATCATTGATTGTATAGGACCATTACCAAGATCAAAGTCAGGATATCAGTATACTATCACCATCACCATTACCAAGATCAAAGTCAGGATATCAGTATACTATCACCATCACCATTACCAAGATCAAAGTCAGGATATCAGTATAGTCTCACCATCATGAGTCCGACCACCAGGTTCCCAACAGCAACACCTGTATAGAACATTACTGCGTCTACTCTTATAAAACACTTGCTGGAAATATTTACTCAATATGCATTTCCAAAATAAATTCAAAGTGACTGTTGACCTAATTTTACCATCGAGTTGTTCAAGACAACCCTTCAGGAGTTTACTGTGGCTCAAGTCTTGGCTCGCCCGGACGATCCTTCTTCACAAGGACCTCCAGAACGTAACCATCAGACCATAAAGTCTTTGTTAAAGTAAAGAAGTGCTGCATCAGTATAGAGAAAGATTGAGACATCTGGGATTGGGAAAGATTGAGACATTGGGATTGGGAAAGATTGGGACATTGGGATTGGGAAAGATTGGGACATTGAGATTGAGAAAGATTTGGACATTGGGATTGGGAAAGATTGGGACATTGTGATTGGGAAAGATTGGGATATTGGGATTGGGAAAGATTGAGACATCTGGGATTGGGAAAGATTGGGACATTGGATTGGGACAGGTCTAATTGTAATGCACAATTAGACCTCATTATGCTTATTTTCAGAAGCACTCCCAATGAATCCCTTTATGGAGTATCTCCTTATGAGTTGCTTTACGGTCGTAAGTGCTATGGTTCCCTTAAAGCTTTCAAAGACTCATTAACTTCTAACACGTTCAATGATTCCCTTAATGTCTCAGTTTCTTTTAAACCGGAGACATAAACTTGAACAAGTTCATAAGTTTGCTCGTGCTTATTTGTTAACCTCCCAGAGTAAAATGAAACTAAAGTTTGATAAGCACTCTAAAGTAAGAAAGTTTAAAGTAGGAGACTTTGTACTTGCATATTGTCTTATCCCTAACAAAAGATTGTTATTTGCTTAGCTAAACGAACTAAGGGTTTAGTTCCTGAACCGATCATGTGCCTCTGTAACCCTTTACACCACCGCCCACGGGATGGGGATGGGGTGCATAATAAAGAAAGAAATTGAATCCTAGCTCGTCTTTCCACAGCAAATATTCAGGACCTTATCGCATGAAGGAATATAAAAACAACAAGTACATTCTAGAGACTCCTGGCCGGCGTCGCAAGGTCCAACTTTGCCGCCTTTAATTAATACAAAGTATAAAGGTAATGCACAATCAGTTACGTTGTCTGTATCAGCTTTTACTGATAAATATTACACAAGTAACACATACCCTACCACGTCTCCACTAGACTGTGATACTAGTGATCCAGTGTTATCTAATCTAGACATTTTAAAGGGTCTTCCGTCTTATCTGAACAATTTGATAATAGTGTTTCTATGGTAACATTAATCACCACCTAATATTACTCACCACTTATAATAAACTGTTGCAAGACACTCCTCAGGAATGTACTCTTGTGCAACATGATGTACAGTTAAGGATTGACGCCCAGTAAATCCTCCCCGGCCAGGATACGAACCTAAGCCAAAGCGCTCGCGGAACGTCAAGCGAGTGTCTTACCACTTCGCCACAGGGACTGCTGCCCTGCTGTCAAGGAGACCTTGCCGACACCGACACCTGCCTGGATGACGTCGTTGTTGCCACAAACACCTGAGGAGATCACACACTCCGGCTGCGACAAACACCTGAGGAGATCACACACTCCGGCTGCGACAAACACCTGAGGAGATCCCACACTCCGGCTGCGACAAACACCTGAGGAGATCACACACTCCGGCTGCGACAAACACCTGAGGAGATCCCACACTCCGGCTGCGACAAACACCTGAGGAGATCACACACTCCGGCTGCGACAAACACCTGAGGAGATCACACACTCCGGCTGCGACAAACACCTGAGGAGATCCCACACTCCGGCTGCGACAAACACCTGAGGAGATCACACACTCCGGCTGCGACAAACACCTGAGGAGATCCCACACTCCGGCTGCGACAAACACCTGAGGAGATCCCACACTCCGGCTGCGACAAACACCTGAGGAGATCACACACTCCGGCTGCGACAAACACCTGAGGAGATCACACACTCCGGCTGCGACAAACACCTGAGGAGATCACACACTCCGGCTGCGACAAACACCTGAGGAGATCACACACTCCGGCTGCGACAAACACCTGAGGAGATCACACACTCCGGCTGCGACAAACACCTGAGGAGATCACACACTCCGGCTGCGACAAACACCTGAGGAGATCACACACTCCGGCTGCGACAACTATCCTACAAACTGCTCCAGGCTCGTCTCGCCATTAATTTAGGCAAGTCCACCTTTGTCAAAGGTAAAGTGCGCTGTCTCGGTCATGTCATTGGCAGTGGAACTATAGAACCTTTATATTTACACCTTGAAGCCATCCAGCAGAATCCACAGCAAGCATCTCCTAAACAACTTATAAGATTTCTAGGATTAACATCCAACTGTAGAAGATAGTTGGATGCTAAGACCTAAGACCAAGACCTTTAGCAATGTTGGAACCTCTTTAATCATCCTCACCAACCCAAAGAGGAAATTCATTTCGACCACGACCCAATCTATTGCCTTCGATTAATTGAAAATCTTGTTCTGTACTAAACCCATTCTCGCCTCCCCAGATGTGAAACAACCCTTCACCCTTAACAATGACGCTAGCAGCACCGGCACTGGTGGAGTCTTGATGCACCAGCGAGAGGTTCCACCTGTCACTGACAACACCTACGAGCTGAAGCCTCGCCAACAACACTACAGTACAATTGTAAAAGAGTTATTAGCCATCGTTCTGTGGCTACACTGCAACGCACCGTTGTACGTGAGTGTTGGTACACAGAGAGGTAGAGTGTGAGTGTTGGTACACAGAGAGGTAGTGTGTGAGTGTTGGTACACAGAGAGGTAGTGTGTGAGTGTTGGTACACAGAGAGGTAGTGTGTGAGTGTTGGTACACAGAGAGGTAGTGTGTGAGTGTTGGTACACAGAGAGGTAGTGTGTGAGTGTTGGTACACAGAGAGGTAGTGTGTAAGTGTTGGTACACAGAGAGGTAGTGTGTGAGTGTTGGTACACAGAGAGGTAGTGTGTGAGTGTTGGTACACAGAGAGGTAGTGTGTGAGTGTTGGTACACAGAGAGGTAGAGTGTGAGTGTTGGTACACAGAGGTAGAGTGCAAGTGTAGGTACACAGAGTACTGACGGCCGTCGACCAGGTGATCTTGGTCGGGTCAGATCAAGGCCTCACTCAATATTTCTAGTGAAAAAAAAACAAATAACAAAAAAAACGAAGCGATATTTTTAGCCGTGTTGACCTTTAAGAGATCAACTTGAGCTGGACCCCTGACCCAGGGCCAGGCGCGCGCGCGCTTCAGTACTTGACCAAGAAAACAAATCCTTCAACCTATTTCCTGCTGTTTGGAACAAAATTTGTGTCAGAACGTTTGTTTTTGACTCATAATGATGTGTTTATTCATCCTAACATATTTATATGCGTGTTTACTACAAACAGATCAGAAAACATTTCATTGTATTGATAGAAATAGGATATAAAGGAAGATATACGTGTGGCTGATACATATATACCTGACAGTACAGTTGAGGGAGGCGGGGCGGCCACCTTTAGGAAGACTCGGAAAACTAACAAGTACAGGGACCTAGAACATTGTTCGTTGTTTATGTTCGTGCCGATAGGCTCTGACACCCGGGGCGCCTGGGGTTAATATTCACCTAAGTTCCTGAAGGAGGTGAGCGAGGAACTCATTAGGAAAACTAAAGACTCACGAGCGGCCAGTTTCCAGTTCCAGCGCCTCAGTGTCGCGATCCAGAGAGGAAATGCGTGCTGTATCCTGGGCACGCACCCCACCTCCGAACAGCTGCATGAGGTCTTTGAACAGTCATTGTTATAGGTGTGTGTGTGTGTGTGTGTGTGTGTGTGTGTGTGTGTACTCACCTATATGTACTCACCTATATGTGCTTGCAGGATCGAGCATTGACTCTTGGATCCCGCCTTTCTAGCTATCGGTTGTTTACAGCAATGACTCCTGTCCCATTTCCCTATCATACCTAGTTTTAAAAGTATGAATAGTATTTGCTTCCACAACCTGTTCCCCAAGTGCATTCCATTTTTCTACTACTCTCACGCTAAAAGAAAACTTCCTAACATCTCTGTGACTCATCTGAGTTTCCAGTTTCCACCCATGTCCCCTCGTTCTGTTATTATTACGTGTGAACATTTCATCTATTTCCACTTTGTCAATTCCCCTGAGTATTTTATATGTCCCTATCATATCTCCTCTCTCCCTTCTTTTCTCTAGTGTCGTAAGGTTCAGTTCCTTCAGCCGCTCTTCATATCCCATCCCTCGTAGCTCTGGGACAAGCCTCGTCGCAAACCTCTGAACCTTCTCCAGTTTCTTTATGTGTTTCTTCAGGTGGGGGCTCCATGATGGCGCGGCATACTCTAAGACGGGTCTCACGTAGGCAGTGTAAAGCGCCCTAAAAGCTTCCTCATTTAGGTTTCTGAATGAAGTTCTAATTTTCGCCAGTGTAGAGTACGCTGCTGTCGTTATCCTATTTATATGTGCCTCAGGAGTTAGATTAGGTGTCACATCCACTCCCAGGTCTCTTTCTCGAATCGTTACAGGTAGGCTGTTCCCCTTCATTGTGTACTGTCCCTTTGGTCTCCTGTCACCTGATCCCATTTCCATAACTTTACATTTACTGGTGTTAAACTCCAGTAGCCATTTCCCTGACCATCTCTGCAGCCTGTTTAAGTCCTCTTGGAGGATCCTACAATCCTCGTCTGTCACAACTCTTCTCATTAATTTTGCGTCATCTGCAAACATTGACATGTATGATTCCACTCCTGTAAACATATCATTTACGTAAATTGGAAAGAGGATTGGTCCCAGCACCGATCCTTGAGGTACTCCACTTGTTACTGTTCGCCAGTCCGACTTTTCGCCCCTTACCATTACCCTCTGGCTCCTTCCTGTTAGGTAGTTCTTCACCCATACTAGGGCCTTTCCGCTTACTCCTGCCTGCCTCTCAAGTTTGTATAGCAGTCTCATGTGCGGTACCGTATCAAAGGCCTTTTGGCAGTCAAGAAATATGCAGTCTGCCCAGCCTTCTCTGTCCTGCCTTATCCTTGTTACTTTATCATAGAATTCTAAAAGGTTTGTTAGGCATGATTTCCCTGTCCAGAACCCATGTTGGTGCTTGTTTACAAACCCAATGCTCTCCAGGTGCTCAACAAGTCTTAGCCTAATTATTCTTTCAAGTATTTTGCAGGGGATGCTTGTCAGTGATACGGGTCTGTAGTTAAGTGCCTCTTCCCTATCACCCTTTTTGAAAATCGGTACGACATTTGCCTCCTTCCAGCAACTGGGCAATTCTCCCGACATAAGTGACTCATTAAAGATCATTGCCAGAGGCACGCTGAGAGCCTGCGCTGCCTCTTTGAGTATCCACGGTGATACTTTGTCTGGTCCAACAGCTTTATTTGCATCCAGTGTTGTCAACTGTTTCATTACATCCTCTGCTGTCACCTCTATATCCGATAGTCTTTCATCTTGGGTAATCTCTTCTAACAATGGGAGCTGCTCAGGCTCGGTTGTGAACACTCCATGGAATTTTGCATTCAGTACCTCGCAGATTTCCTTGTCGCTTTCTGTATATGCCCCTTCTGTTTTCCTCAGTCTTGTCACTTGGTCATTTACCGACATCTTCCTTCTTATATGGCTATGTAGTAATTTTGGTTGCTTTTTCGCTTTGACTGCAATATCGTTCTCATAATTTCTTTCCGACACTCGTCTTATGTTAATGTAATCATTCCTAGCTCTGTTACATCTAATCCTGTTGTCCTCTGTCCTTTGTCTTCTGTACTTCCTCCACTCCCTCCTGCTTCTCACCTTTGCTTCCTGACACTGTCTATTAAACCATGGGTTATTATATTCCCTCCTGCTTTTTTCCTTTATTGTTGGAATAAATCTATCTTCAGCCTCCTTGCATTTCAATATGACTTGGTTCATCATACCTTGCACTGTTTTTCCTCTAAGTTCTTCCTCCCACTGCACTTCTCCCAGGTAGTCCCTTATCCTTCTGTAGTCCCCTTTTCTGTAATCAAGTCTCCTTTCCCGGACCTCTTGTCCTTTGGTCACAATTTTAAGCTCCATCATGTAGTCAAAGACTAGGACACAATGGTCACTAGCTCCTAGTGGTATTTCATGTTCCAACTGCTCGATGTCTTCTACATTCTGAGTGATAATGAGATCTAATAGGCTGGGCGTATCCCCTCCTCTTTCCCTAGTATCTTCTTTCACATGCTGTGTTAGGAAATTCCTGTCAATAACGTCTACCAGCTTCGCTCCCCAGGTCTCCTCCCCGCCATGGGGATTCCTCGTTTCCCAATTTATCTCTCCGTGATTTAGGTCCCCCATGACCAGCAGCTTCGCTCTCATTCTATGCGCTAAAGTTGCTGCCCTCTGCAGTTCATCCATACATGTCTTGTTGCTGTCCTCGTACTCCTGCCTGGGCCTTCTACTGTTTGGTGGGGGATTGTAGAGTATCAAGATTACAATCTTCTTCCCATCCACTGTCAGAGTTCCATGTATGAAGCTTGTGCTTTCATTGGTACCCGGATTTTCCAGCTCATCAAACTTCCATTTCCGCTTTATTAGTAGTGCCACTCCTCCTCCCTGTCTCTGTGTCCTTTCTTTTCTTATCACCTGGTACCCCTCTGGAAAGATTGCATCCGAGATCATGCCATTTATTTTAGTTTCCACTATTGCCACTATGTCTGGGTCTGCCTCACTAACTCTTTCTTTTATCTCTTCTGCTTTATTGGCTACCCCATCAGCATTGGTGTACCAAACCTTGAGACTCTTCTTGGAAACTCGGGTGTCAGAGTTCCCCCTTTCACCAGGGGTCTGGGGGGAACTGGGGGGTGTCTGGGGGGCAAGTGGGGGCTGTGGGGGTGAGTGGGGGGGTGCCTGGGAGTGCCTGGTAGGCGAATGGGGTCTGGGCATCTAGGGGGGTAGGAAGGGCATAATGGGTCTGAAAGTTAGGGGTCTGAATAGCATAGGGGGGTTGAGAAATAGAGAGAGACTGAGAGTCAGATAGAGGTTGAGAGGTTGGGGGGAAGAGGGATACTGAGGGCGGAGAGCTGAGATGAGAATGGAGCATGGGTGCTGGGAGTGGAAGAGAGGGTATATTAGTTAGGGGGGAATCGGGGGTAGGTGGGGGTTTTGGGGTAGAAGAGGGGAAGAGGGAGATGGGGGAAGGTGTTAGGGGGTCACAAGGTGAGGGGGTTAAATGTGGGCTGGAGGTGCATAGGAGGGGTGAGGGTTGGGTGGGGTTTGGGGGTGAGTGGAAGAGGGGTGCAGTGGAAGCTGGGATGGAGTAGATGGAATTGAAGTCAATGGGGTAGAAGGGGCAGGGGAGTGGGAAGGGGTATTTGGGGAGGGGGGATGGGAAGGTGGGTTTGGGGAGGGCATGGCTTGACCCACTGGGGTCCCTGACAAGTGTGATGTAGCAGGGGCAGGGGAATCGTTGTGGAGGTGCAAATGTGGAAGGGACAGGGGGGTTGTGGGAGGCTGAGGCAGGGGGGATGTATAGGAGGGCTGAGTTGGGGAGGATGCGACCTGGGAGGTGACCTGGGAGGTGCCCTGGGAGGTGACCTGGGATGTGACCTGGGAGGTGAGACTACCTGAGAGACTATTTCGGTGTCGTTGTTGCCATCTATTTTTGTGGGCTGTTTGCTCATCTTTCGTCATAAACCTCTCTATAAACACATTGTAATGGGTTTCACTTCCTCTGAGTAAATGCTTGCTCCTCATTATTTACTCCACTGCCTCCTCATTGGAGAATTGCACCAGAACAGGTCTATTCTTGGTACAATTGTAAGGTCCAACCCGTCGATTGATATCCACCTCGCGTTCTGCCATCTCTGCTCCAATACACTTCAATATCTCGTGCAATTCGTATTTTTCTGTTTCTATTCTCTCTTGTCTTGTTGGTGCCCTAGATTCGAATAATCCATGTATTATAATAGACCGTCTCCTCAGTAATTCATTGTCATGCTGGTAGCCTGTCCCCTGGGGATTCCCCATCCCAACCGCAGTCACTAACCCATCCCCCATTACTCCTCTATCCTTAGCCATGCTGCTAATCCTTCCTAATTCGTTTGTGATACGAGCACATTCCCTCTCCCAGTCCTCTCTTCCCTTCCTAATCTCTTCCTGAACATAGAGCATAAATTCTTGTTTCTGCCTCTCCACCGCATCCTGTATTTGCTGAAATACCTCACTTTTAATCCCCTGGATTAGATCCTCCAACCAATCACTCCTTCTCTCTACAAATTTCCCTATTAATTTGTCTATAAATCTGTCCTCCTCCTCATCCCTGCTGGTGATTGACCTTGAACCCCTTCTAGTCATTGCAGTAACAATCTAGCCAAAAAGGCGCTCCTCAATACCTTGCACAATCTGCCAACACAATAGGTGAGTGAATCTCCAATCGTCGTCCCACGTGGTGGTAGAAGGGTTGCTGCCGGGAGGTGAGGTCACGCGGTCAGAGGTCGGTGATGTCTGCTGCTTCCACACTGCACAGTATTTCCTCAACTATTTTGAATTACGCTAATTAAACTGTTTTTCTTCACTACCTTATGGCTCTGGTCAAAACCCAAGGTTTTTTCATTCACTTGTACATTCACTTATAGTCTTTTTCACTTCGAAGTTGCCTGATTACCCCTCCCACTCCACTAGTGACCCAGGAGCTCCCAACCCACGTCCACCCAACACGATGGTCACAAGACAAGGGACCCATATGTGTGTGTGTGTGTGTGTGTGTGTGTGTGTGTGTGTGTGTGTGTGTGTGTGTGTGTGTGTGTGTGTTTTGTAAACTGTAGCTGTGTAATAAAAGAAAAGAAAATTAAGAAAAAAATAATAATATGGGTGGTAGGAGAAGAAAATATTAAAGTGTTCAGTGAGAATCAACAAGGACTTCTCTGAAAACTCTTTATTTTCTTCTCTGAGCCTATGGGTCCCTGCAATTGCACCAGAGGTGGTACCCTAATTATTATTATTATATATATATATATATATATATATATATATATATATATATATATATATATATATATATATATATATATATATATATATATGTCGTACCTAATAGCCAGAACGCACTTCTCAGCCTACTATTCAAGGCCCGATTTGCCTAATAAGCCAAGTTTTCATGAATTAATGTTTTTTCGTCTACCTAACCTACCTAACCTAACCTAACCTAGCTTTTTTTGGCTACCTAACCTAACCTTACCTATATATATAGGTTAGGTTAGGTTAGGTAGGGTTGGTTAGGTTCGGTCATATATCTACGTTAATTTTAACTCCAATAAAAAAAAATTGACCTCATACATAGAGAAAAGGGTTGCTTTATCATTTCATAAGAAGAAAATTATAGTAAATATATTAATTCAGGAAAACTTGGCTTATTAGGCAAATCGGGCCTTGAATAGTAGGCTGAGAAGTGAGTTCTGGCTACTAGGTACGACATATATATATATATATATATATATATATATATATATATATATATATATATATATATATATATATATATATATATATATATATATATATATATATATATATATATATATATATATATATTCATATATATATATATATATATATATATATATATATATATATATATATATATATATATTGAGACTTACCTGGGAGACTGGTGTGAAGATCCTTAACCTTCAGAAGTGACAAGATATGTTGAGAAGTTTGCCTTCAAGTGTTCTTGAAGATGTTTGACCACAGTCCAGAAGAGGTGAGTAAGGGTCTGCCAGCTGCTGGAGGCACTGTCTCTGCCCACCTCCAGATCCTTCTCCTGCTTCACCAAGTGTGTCTCTAACGTCATGAACATTTTTATTTGCATTTAGTTCTTAATTATTTTTTCAAAGTTGTCACTTTTCATCAAGATAAATAAATTTAGAAAGTTGTGATATATTAGATCCAACTTTCCCCAAAAAACTTTAGATTTGAGTTTTTTTATCATAAAGGTGAAAAACAGTTTATAGTTCATTTTCATGACGACCAAGTCATATATCATACGTTTCTTTTTCTATTGGTTCATGTTCACTTTCCCTTGACAAAGAGATGTTAGCCCCGGGCCCAGTACCAAGTCCTGGGCCCAGTACCAAGCCTTGGGCCCAGTACCAAGTCCTGGGCCCAGTACCAAGCCCTGGGCCCAGTACCAAGCCCTGGCCCCAGTACCAAGCCCTGGCCCCAGTACCAAGCCCTGGGCCCAGTACCAAGACCTGGGCCCAGTACCAAGCCCTGGGCCCAGTACCAAGCCCTGGCCCCAGTACCAAGCCCTGGCCCCAGTACCAAGCCCTGGCCCCAGTACCAAGTCCTGGGCCCAGTACCAAGTCCTGGGCCCAGTACCAAGTCCTGGGCCCAGTACCAAGCCCTGGGCCCAGTACCAAGTCCTGGGCCCAGTACCAAGCCCTGGCCCCAGTACCAAGCCCTGGGCCCAGTACCAAGACCTGGGCCCAGTACCAAGCCCTGGACCCAGTACCAAGCCCTGGGCCCAGTACCAAGCCCTGGCCCCAGTACCAAGCCCTGGGCCCAGTACCAAGCCCTGGGCCCAGTACCAAGCCCTGGCCCAGTACCAAGCCTTGGGCCCAGTACCAAGCCCTGGGCCCAGTACCAAGCCCCGGCCCCAGTACCAAGCCCTGGGCCCAGTACCAAGCCCTGGGCCCAGTACCAAGCCCTGGGCCCAGTACCAAGCCCTGGCCCCAGTACCAAGCCCTGGCCCAGTACCAAGCCCTGGCCCAGTACTAAGCCCTGGGCCCAGTACCAAGCCCTGGCCCCAGTACCAAGCTCTGGCCCAGTACCAAGCCCTGGCCCCAGTACCAAGCCCTGGCCCCAGTACCAAGCCCTGGCCCCAGTACCAAGCCCTGGCCCAGTACCAAGCCCTGGCCCCAGTACCAAGCCCTAGCCCCAGTACCAAGCCCTGGGACCAGTACCAAGTCCTGGCCCAGTACCAAGCCCTGGCCCAGTACCAAGCCCTGGCCCCAGTACCAAGCCCTGGGGCCAGTACCAAGCCCTGGCCTAGTACCAAGCCCTGGCCCTAGTACCAAGCCCTGGGGCCAGTACCAAGCCTTGGCCCAGTACCAAGCCCTGGCCCAGTACCAAGCTCTGGGGCCAGTACCAAGCCCTGGACCCAGTACCAAGCCCTGGACCCAGTACCAAGCCCTGGCCCAGTACCAAGCCCTGGCCCAGTACCAAGCCCTGGCCCCAGTACCAAGTCCTGGTAATGTGTGGGGAGGTCGTGGAGCCTGGTGCCGGGGCAGCACCATCACATTCACAGTCTTGTCCTCTCAAATTATAGTGCCGACGTAAATTGCTTCTCATTACCAATTTTCCAATCACGTTCTCACCTGTGGACCCCCGTCAACCACGTCCTCACCTGTGGACCCCGTCAACCACGTCCTCACCTGTGGACCCCCATCAACCACGTCCTCACCTGTGGACCCCGTCAACCACGTCCTCACCTGTGGACCCCCATCAACCACGTCCTCACCTGTGGACCCTCATCAACCACGTTCTCATCTGTGGACCCCCATCAACCACGTTCTCACCTGTGGACCCCCATCAACCACGTTCTCACCTGTGGACCCCCATCAACTACGTCCTCACCTGTGGACCCCCATCAACCACGTCCTCACCTGTGGACCCCCATCAACCACGTCCTCACCTGTGGACCCCCATCAACTTCGTCCTCACCTGTGGACCCCCATCAACCACGTTCTCACCTGTGGACCCCCATCAACCACGTTCTCACCTGTGGACCCCCATCAACCACGTTCTCACCTGTGGACCCCCATCAACCACGTTCTCACCTGTGGACCCCCATCAACTACGTCCTCACCTGTGGACCCCCATCAACCACGTCCTCACCTGTGGACCCCCATCAACCACGTCCTCACCTGTGGACCCCATCAACCACGTTCTCACCTGTGGACCCCCGTCAACTACGTCCTCACCTGTGGACCCCCATCAACCACGTCCTCACCTGTGGACCCTCATCAACCACGTTCTCACCTGTGGACCCCCATCAACCACGTTCTTAACTGTGGCTGGAGTCCATGGACACCTTGGAGTCCGTGGACGCCATGGAGTCCGTGGACGCCTTGGAGTCCGTTGATGCCTTGGAGTCCATGGACGCCATGGAGTCCGTGGACACCTTGGAGTCCGTGGACGCCTTGGAGTCCGTGGACGCCTTGGAGTTCATGGACGCCTTGGAGCCCGTGGACGCCATGGAGTCCATGGACACCTTGGAGTCCGTGGACGCCTTGGAGTCCGTGGACGCCTTGGAGTCCATGGACGCCATGGAGTCCGTGGACACCTTGGAGTCCGTTGTTGCCTTGGAGTCCATGGACACTTTGGAGTCCGTGGACACTTTGGAGTCCGTGGACGCCTTGGTGTCCATGGACGCCTTGGAGTCCATGGACGCCTTGGTGTCCGTGGACGCCTTGGAGTCCGTGGACGCCTTGGAGTCCGTGGACGCCTTGGAGTCCGTGGACGCCTTGGTGTCCATGGACGCCTTGGTGTCCGTGGACGCCTTGGAGTCCGTTGTTGCCTTGGAGTCCATGGACACTTTGGAGTCCGTGGACACTTTGGAGTCCGTGGACGCCTTGGTGTCCATGGACGCCTTGGAGTCCATGGACGCCTTGGTGTCCGTGGACGCCTTGGTGTCCGTGGACGCCTTGGAGTCCGTGGACGCCTTGGAGTCCGTGGACGCCTTGGAGTCCGTGGACGCCTTGGTGTCCATGGATGCCTTGGTGTCCGTGGACGCCTTAGAGTCCGTAGACGCCTTGGTGTCCGTGGACGCCTTAGAGTCCGTGGACGCCTTGGTGTCCGTGGACGCCTTAGAGTCCGTAGACGCCTTGGTGTCCATGGACGCCTTGGTGTCCATGGACGCCTTGGTGTCCGTGGACGCCTTGGTGTCCATGGACGCCTTGGTGTCCATGGACGCCTTGGTGTCCGTGGACGCCTTGGTGTCCATGGACGCCTTGGTGTCCGTGGACGCCTTGGTGTCCGTGGACGCCTTGGTGTCCGTGGACGCCTTGGTGTCCGTGGACGCCCTGGTGTCCATGGACGCCTTGGTGTCCATGGACGCCTTGGACCCCTTTGTGGGAAAACATGACTGGTGTAAATCATGAGTCCTATGGATGTTCTTAATTAAGAACATATTGAATATTAAAGGGACTGTATTATGAGTCAAATTAACTCACCCAAAATGGGGGGTTACACGTCAGAAGATTAATATATCCCCGAGCATTATTCTGGCGCTGGTTCTTCGCCAGAGTAAGTCAAATGATTGTAAATGAAATATTTACTACCTCTAATTATTATTCTAGGATAATAATTAGAGATAATGCACCTCAATATACTACAGTAATATAAATAGTATATGATAAATCAAAGGGTTAGTAAAATCGATCTCAGTAGCTCATTAATATACTATAGGGTTATTTATCTACAGACAACATTAACAGCTTAGCTGTAAAATAAGAAATGTGAAATCGGTTGCCACACTCCACTGACGACGTGTCGCGTCGGGGAAATTATTGCAGGTGAAGGTGGTGGTGGGATAGCCTAGCTCCTCGCCTGACCTGCACCCGGGACCTGGAAGGCAATTACATTGCTGAAATTTTCTACGTAACTAATTACAGACATATCTAATAATAAGGAATTCTTCCTAATATATGAAACGATATCTCTGACACTGCAGAATTCTTCTACAAAAATTAATGGATATAAATTCCTAAATAAAATTAGGGAATATGGCTAGAGAGTGAACGTACTGGATTTTTGTTGTAAATAAATGGCCTAACGACAACTAGTCTAAATGTTAAATGTGGACACAGTAAAACAAATACCAAAATTATAGTTGACGGGCCAAGTGTCCGTTGATGGAGGGAACGATTCCAGTCCTCCGTCCTGCAGTACTCTTGCTCACACCTCAATTAAAGGCTGGCGAATTAAGTAGTTCCTAGACACTGCCGTTGTGTGCCCAAATAACGTGGCACCGCTCTCAGGATTGTGGGAGCAAATTAAATGACACTACGCAAGTTCCTTGCAATGACGTTTCTCTCTCTCTCTTGCACGCTGCTAATATGGCGTCTCCTTCCTCCCTGGCTGGGATACGCATGCGCAGAATGCTTAAAGTAATCTCGAGCCTAAAGTATTTCACTTACTTATAATTAATTAGGGAAGTAGGAAATAGTGACAGGTATTTATGTCACTGATGAAAGTATTAAGGTACCAATATATTTTCCATAACGCAAGTTAGCTTATTAAGACTGCATAAAATGAACGAAAGGAATATTACCTAGAATTGTTTTACAATGCAATATTTTCCACTGGAGTTGTTAATTAACCTAAATAAGCGAGTTCAGTAAGCAGTAATATACTATATAAATAAAACAACTAAATAAACGATTATCCTTAGTAAAAGAAAGTAATTAACTGGACTCGGTTTAGATTCAACTAAATGTGGAGAGAATTTCATGTTTCAACTTGCTGCCACCTGCCAGCCTCACGGAGACTGTGGGAAGGTGGTGGTATAATATTGCGTCGCAATAGAAACATTAATGGGATTAATTCTACGAATTAGTAAACTTAGTAATTACTGTGGGTTAATACAATTATAATGTATTATTATACAAAAATGATGTATTAGTGTTGGATAATTTCCAACACCCTAGGCCTCCATGGACGCCTTGGAGTCAGTGGACGCCTTGGAGTCCGTGGACGCCTTGGAGTACGAGGACCCCTTGGAGTCCGTCGACCCTTTGGAGTACGTGAACCCCTTGGAGTCCGTGAACCTCTTGGTGTCCATGGACCCCTTGGGACTCCTTGGAGTTCGTGGACGCCTTGGAGTCCGTGGACGCCTTGGAGTACGAGGACCCCTTGGAGTACGTGAACCCCTTGAAGTCCGTGGACCTCTTGGTGTCCATGGACCCTTTGGGACTTCTTGGAGTCCGTGAACCCCTTGGAGTCCGTGGACGCATTGGAGTCCGTGGAATCCTTGGAATCCACGGATTCAAAGTCTTCAATTCAGCAAAAGGAAGCGAGATCGTTGGTTTCAAAATGGAACACCCTTGAGTAACAAATTTAACATCACGTTTAAATTCGCAAACGGGTCGTTACAAAGTACATTAGCAATGCTAACGTTTCTCAGTCTCGACATAGACTAAGAGTCATGGAGAGAGTGGACGACCCACCCACGACCACAGTCAGGCGCAGACTACTGTCGTGTTTACTGCCGTCGACCCGACTGCTTATAGAGCCCTCGAGTCCACTTCCCCCACCGCGCGGGAAACCCAGCACCCGACTCCTCTTCCCCCAATGTTCTTCATATCGTTAACCCTAAGATTCATTTTTTTTTTTTAACTGTCACTATGATTTTTTTTTAAATAAACACAAATTCCAACTGTGAGTTCGTAGCACGTGTTAGAAAATAAGCCGCCATAATGATGGTTATTTGTATTATGGAGTTCAGTTTTGATGTCTATAAAATATGACGGGTATAAAATCTACTTGAGTACGAACAGAGGATGATGAAGAAATCCCAGGACTGAGAAACCTCTATTATGAAAATGTATTAAGAAGGATTATTATATTTACCATCCCTACATAAACGAAAAGTAACTGGTGACATAGATGAATATTTCTATTTATTAATTTTTGTATATATACAAGAATTGTTACATTCCTGTACAGCCACAAGCACGCGTAGCGTTTCTCGCAAGTCCTTAATTCTAATTTTCACACACACCCAGGAAGCAGCCAGTAGCAGCTGTCTAACTCCCAGGTACCTATTCACCGCTAGGTGAACAGGGTTATTAGGGGGAAATAAACTCTCCCCATTTGTTTCCGTATCCGCCGGAGATCGAACCCGGATCCTAAGCACTATGAACCTCGAGCGCTGTCCACTCAGCCGTCTGGGCCCCATAACAATAGGTAGATGAATGACTAGCTATGACAGATGAAAGATGGACGAATGGTTTACATTGTCTGTGGTTCGAGGCTCTGCTGGTCCAAAGTGAATGAAATGTTATTATCCACGATGTGATAATAACATTTCATCTATAATAGATGAAATGTCAGCCAGATAATTTCATCAGCCAGATAATTTCATCTGGCTGATGAAACCCACTTCGGCTAATCATCAGCCAGATACCCACACCCACGTACAGACTGGCGAAACGACTCAACGGCATGCTGACTCCTTATGTCCCTTGCGCCTGCAGCCTGAAGTCTCCAAAGGAATTTGTTGACTTATTGCGGGGAACACGGGCCACAGGGATAAGAGCCTCGTTGGACGTAGAATCACTGTTTACCAACGTACCTGTGGATGAAACAATCGGGATGATAGCGGACAGAGTGTATCGTGATCCGGCCTGCACTCCTCTTGACATACCAGAAAACATTCTAAGGAAACTACTCCAAGCTTGTACTAAAGAGGCACCCTTCTTGAGCCCAGATGGGCACATGCATAAGCAAGTAGATGGGGTCGCCATGGGTTCTCCCCTAGGTGTCCTGTTTGCGAACTTCTACATGGGTACCATCGAGCAAAAAGTCTTAGTCGACATGAACTTGAAACCGGCCATATACTGCAGGTATGTTGACGACATTTTTACACAGGTACCTGATGTCAGACAACTGCAGGAGCTGAAGGAGGCATTTGAGCAGAATTCTGTGTTGCGTTTCACTTACGAGATGGAGAAGGATGGGAAGCTGCCCTTTCTAGATGTAACAGTCATGGAAAGGAGCGGAGGTTTCCACACTGCAGTCTACACTAAGGAAACAAACATAGGAATGTGCCTAAATGCCAACAGTGACTGCCCAGACAGGTACAAGAGGAGTGTTGTTAACGCTTATGTCGACCGTGCTCTCAGCCACAGCTCAGGATGGAAGCAAGTCGACGAAGAACTCTGTAGGGTAAGGCAGGTCCTAGTCAACAACGGCTTCTCCAATGGTTTCGTGGAAGACATCATAAGAAGGAAAGTGAAACGCAATGCAACCTCTGAAGAGACAACTAACACAACACCTATACCCCCTATTAGACTATTTTACAGGAACTTCTTTTCCACAGCTCATAAAACGGAGGAAAGGGTCCTGAAAGATATTGTTAATAGAAACGTTATCCCTACAGACAAAAATCAGAAGATACAACTGACGATTTACTATAAAACCAAAAAAACGGCCAACCTACTCATGAGAAACTCTTGTAACACGGGTTTGGGTTCCTCTCTCTTTTCTTCCTTCTTTCTACTCCCTCTACCCGTATTCTTACTTTTATTTCTAAACCAAGGGACTCCAAAACTTTTAACAAAGCCAACTCCACGCCACGTGGTCCTAAGACGATTGACCGACTTAGGATTCTACACCCAGTATGACGTGACCTAAGCTCTGAACAAAACCCTAGAGTCACCTCTGCTGCCACCACCAGACCAGTAATACAAGAGCAATGATCGAGGTCTGGATCGATCACGCTAATTAATCAACCTAGGGGCTTGATCCCCACTATAAACGATGACCTTGAGTGTGGAATAAATTACACGGTAATGATGATTCCGATTCGATGTTAGAATCGGCGCCCAATACAACTCTGCCTCGTGTGGACCACGTGACCAGGACAAGTTTACACATAACCAAATGGAAACAATAAAATGCAAATTAATAACAAATTTAATTTATTAAAAGAAAACTAAAACAAAATCTAAATGTGTTCACTCCCTATCACTTTAACACTCCCTACTTGACCTGAATGGCAAATGAGAAGACTATTTCTATACATAACCATAGCAACTATACCTTGGGCGACCAGCTAGATGTCTTGGGGAGAGGTAAGATGTTTGACCTCTCCCAGCTGCTCCCGTATTCACACTGATTTGTCCTCGTCTGGCCTAGCCCAGACTAGAACCTTGTATCCTTCCGCCTAGTCAGTCAAAGTTCTACCAAGTTACTAGCCAGGTTTAAGTTATAACAATTAACCTCTGTTGTACTTAATTGATCCAGACTGGTTGAATTATTTTACTGAATTAAATTACAAACATCTAACGGCAGAGCTGTTCCCGATCACAAAAATGGTTATTAAAACTTTGAGAAATATTAGACATGTCAACCCTGCTGACCTATGACCGCCGGTCAC